AAGTTAGATTCTCAACTTTACGTCAAATTAGGTATAAACTCATTTTTGACGCAAAATTCGTCTGAAGTACAAGTTGGTATAACATAGGGTACAAATATGTTATGCATAATTCTACCAAAAATTCACTTAACYCAATTGTACGAGTTAACGAAACACGGATATTATAATCCTGTCCTCCTAAAAAAAATATTTCGTCCTCGAAATTTAGATAGGGTTAGAGGATTTACATGACTCAAAAAGATAAGGGTACTCCTTCTGCATATATTCTTCCGTTTCCCATGTGGCTTCTCGCTCAGAATGATTTCGCCATAACACTTTAACGAACGGTATTGACCTTCGTCGCATTTGTCTCTCTTCTCTATTAATTATCGCCTCTGGTTCTTCAATATAAGAGAGATCTTTTTCAACTTTGTCCAACGGATAATCAATCACATGGAGAGGGTGATAATGATATCCGCGGAGCAACGAGATATGGAAAATGTTATGGATATGTGATAGTTGAGGAGGTAACGCTAGGCGATATGCTACCTTTCCAACACGTTCAAGGATTTCAAAAGGTCTAATATATCTCGGACTAAGTTTACCTTTAATTCCAAACCTACGAATACCTCGTAACGGTGAAACTTTTAGGAAGACGTGATCACCCGTTTGGAACTCTAAATGATTTCGATGCTTGTCAACGTAACTTTTCTGCCGAGATTGAGCCTCTTTCATTTTCTGTTTTGCGATCTCGACTTGTTCAGCAGTAATCCGGACAAGTTCGGGTCCTTCGATAGCTCGTTCCCCCACTTCATTCCAGCAGATCGGTGTTCTACACTTCCGACCATATAAAGCTTCGTACGGGGCCATGCCGATACTAACTTGCCAACTATTATTATACGCGAACTCCACAAGATATAGAGACTCGTCCCAACCACCAGACCACAAGCCCGTAACATATCTTCTAGAGTTTGAATAGTTCGTTCAGTCTGACCATCTGTTTGTGGATGAAAAGCTGAACTCATAGTCAATCGCGTACCCTAAGCTTGGTGAAGACTTTTCCAGAATGGAGAAGTGAATCGCGGATCTCAGTCTGATGTGATAGAGACTGGCGTGCCATGTAACCTCACGATTTCCCGCTCGAATAGATCAGACAGTTTACTAACAGGGTACGTTTCCTGTATAGGTAAGAAATGAGCCGATTTTGTCAAACGGTCAACTACTACCCATATAGCATCATGTCGTCTCTGAGTTTTCGGTAGTCCTGTCACAAAATCCATAGAGATATGTTCCCATTTCCAAACTGGAATCTCTAATGGTTGTAATAATCCGCTAGCCCGTTGATGTTCAATCTTCACTTTCTGGCAAGTAAGACATTTTGCCACGTATTCGGCTATATCCCGTTTCATACCGTTCCACCAAAAGTACTGTTTTAGATCTCTGTACATCTTAGTGGATCCGGGATGTATTGAGAATAACGAATTATGAGCTTCACTCATAACTGCTTCTTTGAGTTCAGGATTGTCGGGTACACAAAGTCGATTAAAGAACCAAATAATACTTTTATCATCAACTCGAAAATTAGATTGTAAATCATCTTTAGCCTTTTGTAAGATAGCCCATAGTTCTCCATCCTCTTGTTGAGCCTYTTTGATTCGAGATACAAGAGTTGGTTCAACCGTGAGACTAGCCAAAAGTTCATTTGCACCACGATAACACAAAGAGATACCCATACGTTCTAGATCTGAAGCAATATGGGATTGAACAGTTAAAGACGATACATTACCAATGCTTTTGCGGCTAAGGGCATCGGCGACTACATTGGCTTTGCCTGGATGACATTGAATTCGGACGTCGTAATTCTTAAGAAGTTCGAGCCATCATTGTTGACGCATATTCAACTCTTTTTGCGTGAAGATGTACTTTAAACTTTTGTGATCAATAAAGATATCACAAGTCTCTCCGTATAGATAGTGACGCCATATTTTGAGTGCAAAAATGACTACTGCCAACTCAAGATCATGAGTAGGGTAGTTTACTTCATAAGGTTTGAGCTGGCGAGAGGCATACGCAATCACTTTGC